GCTGCAGCTGCGCTCATCAGCTGTGAGCCTGGCTTCTCTGACTACCAGGGGGCAGCTCCTGTGTTGAGCATCTGCCCCTGGTGGTCAGTGTGCGTCATAGCAACCAGTTGTTCTGCCATTCGGTTGATTTGCATATTAGCTTTTTATTATATAGGATGTGTATCAAGACTGACAGTTGTCAGAGGGGAGGAGGATTGAGGGGCTATGTGAAAAAGGTGAATGGATTAAGCAGTACAAATCGGTAGTTACAGAATAGTCACAGAGATGTAGATTACAGCATAGGGAATATATCGTGATAAATAAGCATGAGGCCAGGTGGCTGTTTGAGGCAGTGGGGGGGCCACTCTGTAAAGTACATGATTGTCTAACCACTATGCTGTTCATCTGAAACTAACACAGAATAATATTGAATGTAAACTGTAATTGAAGAAAAAGGACTGACCCTTGTATCTATGCATTCATTACAGTGAATGAGAAACCTTTTGTGCTACTGAAATTCTCTTCACTCAGTCTTTATATATATATTTCACTTGTGTGAGTACTATACACACACATAAGCATGTATAGTACTCACACATGAATAGGAAGTGTTAGGAATGATAAGAAAGTGTTAGGATGTTAAGCAAAGAACAGGCTGCCTATTAAGGATGACTGCTGGTTTGGGGCATCTTTGTTGAGCATTGGTGACACCTTAGCCTAGCCCAGAGCTTGTCTGATTATCACCCAGGGCTGAGGTGACACAAAAGCTCAAAAGTTGTTGCTTTCTACACCATAGGAAGCTGACCCCTGCAGTAAATGCTAAAATTCACAGAGCAGTAAGTATGCCTGGAACAGTCTGAAGTGAATTAAAGTCCAAGGAAAGATGTCTTTCCACATTGATTAAAATCCTGTCTCTGAAGTAATGAGAGCAAAATGGACCGTTTCCCCACTCATTCTAAACTTTCTGGGCTACTTCACTTGAGCTTGTTGAGACATCTTTGATTTTTATTACAAATGTTTGAAATTTTTGTAGCATCTTTTCTCCAAAGTACATACACTCACAGAACTGTAACCTAAGAGAATTATAAATGTGAAAATAAAAAGTGAGAAAGGAAAGGGAAGGAAGGAATGCGTAGGCGAATGTGAAAAAAACAGACTAGGAAGTTCAACCATCAGTTATTTCAGATCTCAATCATTCAATGTTTAATTCTTGGATGCTACTTGAGCCACTGGAGTTCTCTAAGGCACAATGATACCATGTTTCTATTGCTCAAATTTCCTTAGCTAATAAAGGATTTCTTATATAAATGATATGACAAGAAATAGGAAGACATAAAAATGATTGAGAAGTTTTCAGCCATGGCCAAGCATATCAAAAGGTTGCAGGTTCAATTTCCCATCAGGGCACATACCTAGCCTGGGTGAGGATGGGAGGCAACTGATCGATGTTTCACATTCTCTCTCTCTCTCCCTTCCTCTCTCTCTAAAATCAATAAACATATCCTCTGATAAGGATTTAAAAATATAGAGAAGTTTTCAAATAATAATCTGAGTTTAAAGCTATGTTCTTAGGTAAAGTAAAAAAAAAGTACTAATAATGGCCAGTAAAAGACCTTCAGTTAACCCAGTGGTTCTCAAACATTAGCTTCCGCAGCATAGTCTGGGGGGCTTATTAAAGCACAGATGGCTGGCCCTACCTCCAGAGTTTCTAAATTAGTAGGTGTGTGGTAGACCTGAGAATTTGCATGTCTTACAAGTTCCCAGGCCTGCCGATGCTGCTGGTCCTGAGACCACACTTGGAGAGCCATTGAATTAGCCAAAGTGCATGCTCTGTATCAGGTATCGATGGATCCTAATAGAAAGATGGTCCTTGGCCTCAGGGACCTTCCTTTGAGTAACTATGAGGCTTCAACAGCAATGCTGCAAGAGAGATACAAATACAATGTTATGAGAATTCCAAGTGGGGAAGTTACTCCCAATTGGAGGAAGAAGGAAGAAGGAAGAAGGAAGAAGACATTCGTGAATCCACAGAGGCCTTGGTGTTCATGGTGGGCCACAGGGATGAGGAGAACTTGGACATTTGGTGAAGTAGTGGGTAGGCATTCTAGATGGAGAGAATAATGTGCACAAAGGTAGCCTGACTTTGGGCCCAAATAAACAGTCCAGCCTGGCTGGAATGAAGGGCATATGAAGGAGGGGATAGTACAAAACAGAACTACTAAGAATTCCCTA